GGACACCACGGAAACAAATCGACTTGTGCGAGAACAGGCTGCAGAAGCCGTAGTCGCGGAGGCAACCATTACTAAAGGCGACGTTGAACCTCCTCCCGAATTGGAAGGGGTCAATTACGCCTCGTTGACCGAGCAAATAGAAAATGCCGTTGCTCCCAAGCCGATTCCTGGTAGTACAGAGGATAGCACAGAGGGTGACACATTCCAGGTACTAGGAACTACAAAGGAGTTGTGTGTCATGCCAACTTCGGATAATTTCAGTCGGCTGCTGCAGGTTAGCCCCGCTTCATTAATAACCGAACAAAAGGGTGACCCAACGCTTAAGCAATTCCAGGACAGGTCGAAAGAGGGAATCGCCAAACGAAATGTGAGATTCCAAGAGAGGGGCGGCATACTCTATCGAAAATATCTAGATAGGCGAGGAGTAGAATTTGACCAGATAGTCGTACCTCAGGCGTATCGTCAGGATTTGCTTAGTTTGGTGCATGGAGAATCATGGTCAGGCCACTTAGGCTTAAAGAAGACAAAAAATCGTCTTTTACAGGAATACTACTGGCCTGGATGCTTTAAAGATGTAGAGAGGTTTGTAAAATCTTGCGATGTGTGTCAGCGAGTGGGTAAGCCGGGAGATAAGGCGAAATTTCCAATGAAGCTGGTACCCGTAATCACTGAGCCCTTTCGTCGGTTGGTAATTGACACAGTAGGTCCTTTGCCCAAGACAACTTCAGGCTACCGTCACATCCTGACCTTAATCTGCCCAGCTACTAAATTTCCAGAGGCGGTCCCGCTAAAAGAGCTAAGTTCCGTCGAAGTAGTGAACGCACTTCTATCCGTGTTTGCCCGGGTAGGCTTTCCTGCCGAGATACAATCAGACCAGGGCACCATTTTCACGAGTGCCTTAACGACAACCTTTCTAGAGCGGTGTGGCGTGAAATTATTGCATAGTTCAGTCTACCATCCGCAGTCGAACTCGATAGAAAGCTTCACTCCGTGATGAAGCGAGTGTTAAGAGCCTTATGTTTTGAACGTAAAACTGACTGGGAAATGTGCTTACCTGCAACGATGTTTGCACTAAGAACTGCACCACATGAGACAACAGGGTTTACGCCAGCGGAACTTGTTTACGGCCACAGACTGCGATCTCCTCTTCGTATGCTGAGAGAGTCGTGGGAAGGTCAGGGTGATGATCCTGTAGTAGTGGAATATGTCCTCACCTTATTGGATCGTCTAACAAAAGCCCAAGAACTGACCGAGAGTGCGATGACCAAAGCACAGCAGAAGGCTAAGCTTTACTACGATCGGACCGCTAAAGCACGACACTTTGCTGTAGGAGACAGGGTCATGTTGTTGAGGCCCTCCCAAAAGAATAAGCTTGAAGTGCAATGGGTCGGCCCGGCCGAGATTACTCGAAAATTGTCTGACACCAACTATGTGGTAAAATTACCAGGAAGTCGTAAGGCACACCAGGTGTATCATAGCAACTTACTCAAACCCTACAAAGGGAGGGAAGCCATCGTGAACATGACTTTAAATGTTCCGGAAGAGGTTCCGGCAGAAATTCCTGAATTAGCTCCCGAATCGGACGAAGTCCCGATCGAGAAAAGAGTTGAGGATTTAGTATCAAAGTCACAACTAACAACGAAGCAGAAGCAGGAATTGCGTGGTCTTTTGACCGAGTTTCAGGACAGATTTGTAAGCGAGCCAGGCCGGACATCCGTCCTCACTCATGACATAGAGGTTACCTCGTCGGAACCGGTAAGATCTAAGACGTATCGGGTGTCACCTCGCCGGCTTGAGCTAATAAAAGCAGAGGTTAACAGGATGCTGGAATTGGGTGTGATTGAGCCGTGTGAAAGTGATTACACTTCCCCGTTAATTCTCGTGGAGGTACCCGGCAAAGATCCGCGTCCTTGCGTAGACTATCGTAAGTTAAACCTCATCACCAAGGATCAGACATACCCAATTTCCCACATTGAGGAACGCGTCGAGAGGGTAAGCAGCGCGCAATTTATCTCAACGCTAGACCTAGTGAGAGGTTACTGGCAGGTTCCGCTCACCGAGAGGGCGAGCCGGTATGCTGCATTTATTTCACTATTGGGGACATTCCGCCCTAAAGTGTTGAGTTTCGGCCTAAAGAACGCGCCTTACTGTTTTTCCAACTTGATGGATAAGGTTTTGCGTGGTCAAGAGGACTTCGCATTGCCTTACTTGGACGACGTCGCCGTGTTTTCCTCGTCCTGGCCAGAACACTTGACGCATTTGAGAGCTGCAGTACTGACACGCCTACGCGAAGCAGGTTTAACGGTAAAGGCGCCCAAGTGTCAGCTAGCACAAGCAGAGGTACTCTATCTCGGGCATGTTATCGGTCGAGGGCATCGCCGTCCCTCTGAAATGAAAGTGGCAGCTATCCGAGACTTTCCCCAGCCCCGAACGAAAACCGATATTCGGGCTTTTCTTGGAATAGCTGGTTACTATCGTAAGTACATCCCTAGATATTCCGACATTGCCAGCACTCTTACTGACGCGTTGCGCAAGACCGAGCCCCAGATGGTCGAGTGGGATGAGGAGAAAGAAAAGGCTTTCCGCGTTTTGAAAGCGGCCTTGTCGAGCCAACCTTTGCTTAGTTCACCGGACTACTCGAGGCCTTTCATAGTCCAATGCGACGCTAGTGATAGAGGCATGGGGGCAGTTCTTAGTCAAAGGGATGAGGGGGATCAAGAGCATCCCGTCCTATATGTTAGCCGGAAACTCACCCTTCGCGAGCAGGTTTACAGCGCTAGCGAAAAGGAATGTGCGTGCTTGGTTTGGGCAGTCCAGAAACTGGCTTGTTATATTGCCGGAAGCAAGTTCATTGTGGAAGTGGACCACTGTCCTCTCACCTGGCTACAGACCATGTCCTCTAAGAACGGCCGCCTGCTGCGTTGGAGCCTCGTTTTGCAACAATATACATTTGAAATACGCTACAAAAAGGGTGTACTCCATGGCAACGCTGATGGCTTAAGTCGATGCCCCTGACGCGAGAGGATGTCTCGAGAACTCTGGCATTTTTTTTCCTGACCTAGACAAGAGCTAGTGATTGTTTTTTTACTCTTTTAGGTGTACTTGTTTGAAAACGTTGAAGACACGGCTATCCAGGGTTTCGGGTTCGGTGTTCTTCCAGTGTTGTTGTTTTGTGTCACCTTAAAGTGTGAGTAACATTTTGAATAAATTGTGTATTTCCTTTAATATCAGTTAAAGGGGAAAATTGCCTGATGGAGTTTGGCGGAATTGTCCGGCGCTCACCGGCTGAGTAGTTGTGTTTTCATGTGCGTATGTGACGTCTGTTGAGCCCTCAATGAAGCAGGTGTTGCCCTCTACTTCATCAAAGACGGTCGTCACCAAACCGACTGCCGGCGCTGATCTCTCCGGACAGTGGCTGCAAACCTCAGCCCATCGAGATCTTCACCCCCCCGCGCGAGAGACTGTTACGACCGGCCCTGGGGAGCCAAGCAGGGAGAGTTTGGGGGAGAACCGGTTCTTGACCTGACGGTGTCGTCCACCCCCACCTCCCCATTCGGGTTCCTCCTCGCCGGGAGAGCTACGGGGTCTGCTGTGCGTTCGTGACCATATTTGGTAACATTTTGGGGCGCCGGGACCATATATGTTGTTGGGTTGTGCCACTCCTTGTGTTGTGAGAGGTGTTTTCCCCTCCCTCGTGGCCGAGGTGCCGGCGACACCGTATTGGCTGACGATGCGGACAAGGCGCCCAGTGTCAACAACGTGGCGCTATAAAATGCCGAAGACGTTTTGTATCACACGCACTCTTCTCTCTTTGGGTCAGTTGACCACTTCTCCACCTGTAAATAAATCTCTGTTGTTCGTTCGGGCGCTTCTTTCTCGCTGAATTGTTGGACGACGGATCCTGCGACGGGGCCAGCTACCGAAAACGAGACCGGCAGGACCCGGAGTCACAACAATCCCTACAGTGCTTCGCACTTGATATCATCGTCAAGACCAATATGAAGAAGCCTACTCCTGGGCGGGAGCGAGAGTGTGCTAGTTACGCCTCGAGCAGCTTACGTTACGGCAGCAAGATTAAAGAAAACTATCCCTTTTTGAGGATTCCTTAAAGATTGTTACACCGAAAAGAGAATTATCGCACTTGCACTTTGCATGGAATAATAAACGGTGTCCCACGCGTAAGCTGGAAGTCTCCATAAAAAGATCACGATTCCGTATATTACCGCTTAATTTCTACTTAAACAGTTATGTTCTGGTGCCATGTCCTCTGTGCTCTATCCGTAACGAACCTGAAAATATCGACCATTTTCTACTTACATGTTGCCGTTTTAAAAATCAATGGTAAAAATGTTTCAAAATTTCATTCAAGAAAAATGGGAATTCCACTTGGCATTCCGAATATCCTCTCCTTCAGCGCTGCTTCACTGGAATTTAGCGACAGTAACGTCTGCGGGGCCCTCTGCGAATTCCTCTGTGACAAAAGGAGACTACCTTACTGAGTCGTTGATCACCTCTTTTCAAATCAAGCTTAAAGAAAAGCTTTCTATAATTTCTGCTCTTTCTTTTTTTTCTCTTTGCGTCAAAATTATAGTATTATTTTGAGAACAAACTATCACTTTTTCTTTTACCCTGCATGGTCCTTAACTGGTCACTTACTTTAACCGCTGGCTTCTTGGCCCATCGCTCTTGGTGGGCGAGTGCCAATACAGAGCAAACCAGCAAGCAAGCGATCGCTAATTATGCTACCAATGGTTAAGCGACACGTTTTTACCTGCGTTACGCCAAGTGAGGACAGCACATGATGATGGCGTACAACAGCCCGGAGGCCTAAAATGCTCCGCACTTAAGACTTAACAACGTGAACGCATGGTGTATTGTCATTGCCTTCAAGGGAAGAGTAACTTCATGTGGCGGCTGAATATCGTAATGATCACCACAATCGTTGATCACTATCGTAATCAACCGGCTGCTGATAGCTGAAGAAGAAAAGGAAGTGCGGCATGGCAGGACGTACTGCGACATGGGAGCGGGACGTGGAACTCGATGTCGACCCCATGGTGCGTGTCTTCAGCTGTCTCGAGCATCTGATTAAGCACGTGTACCTTATAGATCGATGCTCAAGCAAATGGCGCTGCTGTGGACGTCTTAGCTGAAGTCAAAAGATGGACGCGTTTCGGGTCAACTGCAAAAAGAGCGTCACAACTACGCACGATATTCAGCTGCATGTATTAATGAGTTAACTCAGTTTGTGTTCTTATTTGGTCTTGATACGCTGCCTTTGAATAGGTCATATTAGCGGCGTCTTACACTTTTGAAGTTCAGCGGGTGTCTCGTAAATTCGGTCCGTCTAGATGTGTTGTAGTTATAAGGAAGAGTTAACTCTGGGGCAGCATCTCAGTTGCACAGAAACACAGAAATCATTTTTTTAGGCAGTCACTGCGCCATAATTGGCGGGGTTGTTCCTTAAATTCAAAACAATAAACTAGAATCTCGTCAACGCAGGCTTTTTATACGCTGCAAATTTTTGTGTGAAAAAAAAATGTTAAGCACAGCTAAATCTAGAAAAAAAAAGGGGGGGGGGGATACTTGCAAGTTTCAGACACTAATGCAAAAATAAAAACTGATAACACGATTCAGGAAAAGTTGGTAATATGTGTCAAGCTTGTAAACTTGTGACGCATCACTGAGTAAATTCCTCAAAATTACCTAGAGACCATCGTAAACATAATAAAAAATTCACCTTAACTGTCAAGACTCGTCAAATTTGAGTGCGAATGCAGTTCACATCACTGCGATAAATGCTCTTTTTGTTGCTCAACTATAGCTTGCGCACTTTGGGTCAAAATTATACCCTCAGCTATATTTCAACTTTATGAAATGCAATGAATTAATTCAAATTGATTGAATTGTTGTCTCAAAGTCATTTTCGTGTTTTACGTGAATTTATTTGAGTACAAGTATATGGCATCGAACTGGGCCACAGCTAAACCGTTAAATGAAGCGGGATTTGGTATGAAGCGATCTTTCTCACATATTTTATATGCTACTGATATCCACATTTCAAGCACTAGTATTTGTACCGCTGTGAAGTCCATTGTTGCTGTTCTTTTACAACTAGCAAGCCCTTTGAGGCGAACCATTTACCCACTGCCCGCTACGACATCATTGAATTATGATAATTTATGAAGTCTGGCGTCCCGAAACGATCATGAAACTATACGATCGTGAGAAACGTTGTAGTGGAGGGCTGGTCACCTGTGGTTCTTGAACGCGCACCGCAATCTAAGCGTGCCTTCTTGACCTCCATCGAAAATGCCACGGCCGGGACTCGATCCCGCGATCTCCGTGTCAGCAGTCGCGCACCACAACCACCATCGTGTCGACGTCATTGAATGAATGAATCGATCAATCAATCAATGACCTGCAGGTGCGCTACCCCCTGTTGCTGTTCAACCTGGCGCTGTGGTCGGTGGGCGTTCTGCTCATGTCGGTGGCCACCGTGCTGCTGGTGAACTCGGAGCTGAACGCGGCGGACGCGGCGTCGCTCGCCAAGCTGGACCTGTCGCCGCTGGTCGTGTCGCGCGTCGAGATGGCCCTGTTCGTCGTCGGCCTGGCGCTCTTCATTGTCACCATCTTCGGCTGCGTCGGGGCGCTGCGCGAGAACACCGCCCTGCTCAGGATGTACTCGTTCGTGCTGGTCGTGTTCGTGGTCGCCAGCGTGTTCGGCGGCATCGTCGTCTTCTTCGTGCCCGGTCAGTCGCTGCGTGTGGCCGTGCCCTCCCTTTGCAACGCGACATTCGCCATAGGAGACTTGAAGGCAAAAGACATCCTCATTAGATGTATTTACATACTACCACTCCGAGGACTTTTCTGCACAACTGGTTTTTTCAGGGACTCCGTTATCAGCCCGCTTTTTTTGTTTACCTATCGACGGTGTTGTCATGATATCGTAATTATGCAACAACCTTTTTTCTGCGACGTGATGATGACGTAATATGGTAAAGTCATCACGTGATTATTTTTGCACCACTCGTGTTGACATGCCGACGAAACCGATGGTCAACTTTTGCGTTTAGTGAGGCACCTAAGGCGTACACGCATTTGTATGCCTTCTAAATAAGTAACTGATACCTGTGCGCGAGCGTGCCTTGATCGGGAAAAGCAGCGGTTTACGAAGCTCCCTAATAAGGGTTCATCCAATCACAACGCAAACAGTGTAACACTAGCACACGCGTGGACGAGTTGGGCTTGCTGTATTACAGAAGGAAAGAATTGTGACGGCTTAGCCGTCAGATGTATGCTCTCATAATTTGTTACCTTTCGCCGTGTCGGTGTACACTGACTGCGTCCGGCTTAATTGATTGACAGAGTGCACGGTGCCGACAGCGTGCGACAAGTTTGGAAACGAATTTCATTTCTTGAGAAAAAAAGAATCAGTATAGGCTATAGCATTCTAATTGTTCTTGTTGCAGGAGACGTGCGCAGGATGATCTCGAAGACGATGTCGCTGTCCCTGGTGATCGCGTACCGCGACAGCGCCGACTCCGAGCAGATCGTGGACGCGCTGCAGAGGCAGCTTCACTGCTGCGGAATGACCGACCTCAAGTTCAGGGACTGGAATACTAACATGTGCGTATTCGCTTGCGACAACATCGAAGAATGTTGCGGAGACGTTAACCACACTCATCTGAAGAAAAAAAAAGTTCTTTTCTTTTTCTTCAGAGTTATCGGGAATGAAAGTCGCCGTTCCAGCAGGCGTGTACATCAAATGAGACCCGAACCTCGGAAGGCATTCCTGATGGCATAGTGGCGCCGTCCAGTTGTCGCAATGACGCGCATTGTATGCTTGTCGGAGATGCCTGGAGGGCGCGAATGCTTGGCGCTGCGCGGGTTGAATTTGGTGGAGATAGTACGTATTGGTTCATCAATGCCTGTTAAACGTGTGACGTTCCCGAAGCTGCACAGATGGTGCTACAATTACCGTGCACAGAAGGTGCTTCCTTCTCGTGCTGAAGGTGTCAACAACAGCTCAGAGTAGACGAAGCAGCGAGACTTGAGTATTCCGAGATGGTATGCGGTATATAAACAAGACGGTTTGTTAGCCACGTTGTGTGATACAGCCCTTCATTTCGGAGCAGTTGTTAAAGTAAGGGCACTCGAGTGCAATAAGAGATTCTCTAGATTCTCTAAAATGTTCTCTAGATCGCGGCTGCCTATAGATTGGTCTCCGACTGATGTCGTGTAATACATCGCAACGTATGCTCTGCTATGTAGAACAGGGCGAATTGCAAGAAGTACTTTCACTGGTGGTCATGTATAGCTGGCCGAGTACATCGTGCGTAGTTGGGCGGCATGCTGGAACGACTTGACCTGTAATCGCCTGAACAGGACTGCTTCTTCCAGTGCTGAGTTTCATGTAAGACCACGCTCCACTCCTACCGGGACACAAGTTGCCAAATGCAGTGCCACCACCGATGTCCTGAACTACCGACGCCACCCGGCAATGAAGACAAACAAGTCGTCAGCTCTGTCAGCAAAATATGTTCAAGCTGTTCTCTAATAATGATAATAGTTGTTCGGATTTTCAATCCCAGAACCGTGATACGATTTAGGGTCGTCCATAAAGAATGGCTCCGGAAATTTTGACCATCAGGCGTCCTTTAACGTTAACCACTCGAGCGCGCGTTAGAGTGTGCTAGAGTGGTTAATGTGCGTTAGAGTGCGCGTTAAACTGGGGCCTGTAGCGTTTCGCCTCCATCGAAATGCGTCGGCAGTGTCTGGAATTGAATACTTTCATGCCAGGAGTCGAGCACCGTGCATGACCACCGTGGCAGGTCGCGGGTTCGAATCCCGGCGTCGGCGGCTGCATATCCGATGGAGGCGGAAATGCTGTAGGCCCGTGTGCTCAGATTTGGGTGCACGTTAAAGAACCCCAGGTGGTCGAAATTTCCGGAGCCCTCCACTACGGCGTCTCTCATAATCATATGGTGAATTTGGGACGTTAAACCCCACATATCATCATCATCATCATAACCACGGGGGCGGGCGTGCTCCTCTCTGTGATTGGATGTCGTCACTGATGCTGCGTCGTGCGAACGGTAATTCCACATATACGTGCCCGTGGTTCCACGCCTGCCGATCACCGCGCGCTTGCAGGTACTTCAACTGCAGCGCGGGCAACCCGAGTCACGAGCGCTGCTCGGTGCCGCACTCGTGCTGCAGGCGCAACGCGAGCGGCATGCAGAGCCGCCACTGCGGCCGGGGCGTGCTGAACGAGACGGACCACGAGGCCTGGCACCGGGTCTACTTCGAGAGCTGCCCCGAGGCCGCCAAGCGGTACATTAGGGAGAGCGTGGCGCTGATCGGCGGCTGCTGCCTCATCGCCGCAATCGTGTTCTCCTTCGTCGACATGATGACCGAATCGGTGATTGCCGAGATCGAGGCCATCCGGAGAATCTACGGCCGCGTGCGCGGCGCCACGTTGCAGCAAGCCTAAACGGCTGTGCGCGACAATATATGCGGTATTGCAATGTGGACAACAAGGCCCTCTGCCAATGGTTACCCTGATTTGAAAGAAATAACAATTAGTTTATACCTATATTAGCTTTATAGTCTCTTATTATTGTCAAATGGTCACGGTCGCCTTGATTTGAATGTAAAAACAATAAGTTTATACTTAGCTTTATACTTATCTACAGTAGTCTCCTATCACTGTCAAAGGGTCAAAAAGCCATTTTTTTTATTGTACTGACGACTGTAAAGCTCTGCATACAAATTGCCTATACATTTACTTTGCGAGACATGATTGCAAAAGCTCTGCATACATATTGCCTATACATTTACTATGTTAGATATGATTGCGAAATCGTGAACATGTCAGGGAATATCGACATGAGTTGCTTGCTGTCGTGGTTACACCATGGGATTAATCTCGATCTCGCAATAAAGACGTACATGTAGCTCGCTAGGACCCTGCAGGGCTGCCTCCGCTGACGGAGGGAACCACTACTCGAAACTGGCCACTTGATTCCGGTGATCTTAACGTGAGAGCGTGGAAAAGCTGGTTTTTGTGAAATTTCGGCGTCGACGTCATTGGGTTTAAGCAAATAAAGAAAGAAAAATATATTTCGGAACTGAACCCAGAAGCGTACTTATTGCGTAGCAGCCAGGTGCTATACCACAAAGCTACGCCCGTGCTCAAAATTTATTTTGTTAAGAACACTAGCTGTCATTACCACATGTGCTAGAGCTACAGAGTGGAGTCGCACCAGGCGTCAAAGCATGTCCATTGCGCAAGCTAAAGGCCGCCCAACTGTACACAGGCGTAGTTAACTATTATTACCAAGAACAGTATCGACAACGTGCGCGGCGGCGCAGGTGCACATAATTGTCTTACAGACGTGTAGGGGACACGTCGCCCATTCGCAGAAGCAAGATTTATGTCGTAGTCGGCACTTCGCAACTGTACTTTCTGTATAAGTATTATAGTATAGTTTGAAAGAACCGATTTGACAGGTGCGCACACGTTTCCTTGCGGCATGATTTAGGCGTCCACGAAAAAGCGTAGCCAGCAAGCAATTCAGAAGGCGATCCGAACAGGATCAGATTACGCTATCACGTTCTATTCGTTAAGGTAAAGCTCAACCGTCCTCCAAGTTTCTGTCGGCGAGTTGAGTACTTTAATCTGCAGTGAACCGACGCGCCACCTGGACGCTACAAGCGGAAACACACCCCAACAAGATTACCGCAACATATCACGCGAGTTTCCTCGGTGAGAATGAGAGATTCCTTAATAATTGTCGAAGGGTGTTCCAAGGCCGCCTTACTCTCTGCAGTATTTGAGTATGCTTGATCATCGCTTATGACGAATAATGAGTATTGACGTAGTGGGTCATTCAGAACTGCATTTGCAGTTGCGAAGGTGATCAGATAGAAGTCACTTAATTGTAATCGCTATATCCATTTATATAGTCGTGAATAGCCATTACTACATATGCTTTGTTGTGCTGTGCACTCAACGTAAAAAAAAAAACGCTGTTACTGCTTTCGCACGTTAACTCTCTTTTGGAGAATGTTTTCGCCATCAACTCTTTAAAGAGAGTGCAATGATCACCAAAAGAGTGTTAATGTTTACACTCAAAGAGGGTTACATATGTCCCAAGTCAGGACTCATCAAAAACAGCAGCAGCAGGGAATGTTTTTTCGTTATTCTTTAACTTCAAGTGTATCATGAAGGGTCAGTGCAAGGTTTTGCGATTCCCTGATTATAAGGGAATATTGAAAAAAAAACACAGCGAAGCTATTGCGGACTTTGACAATGATCTGCAACGATTCTCGCCAAGTTTTTTTTTTTCCGTGAGTCTTTTTGTGCGTTGCCATGATATATGTGTCACCTCATACACGACACCATATTCGCAGATTTTTATCGCATTTAATTTTTAAAATTTATCCTGAGAAAAAGTTTCTTCTATATAGGCACCAGAAATTGCAAGTCTGAGACGAGTGAGTCGTCTCTTTTTTGTCGAATCAGCGCCCTTTCGGCGGGTCTCGAGCGCAAGAAGCCAGCCGTCCAGCTGTGATGATCGACGAACCGAAAGTAGCACGCTTACTGTGAGATCCACCTTGCCTGCGTATAGAACAAGGTCGGACGTTTTGTCCGTGATGACAAAGTAGAAGGGCTTGTTGACGACTACGGTCACGGGGGCGCCCGCGTACGAAGTGCGTTCAGAGCTCACAGCGGGCCAGTGCCCCTCGTCGACTGAGAAACGTCCCTCCTGCCGCAAGTGAAGAAAACGAAGCCGCTCACTGTCGTAGTTGTTGGCGCTCGCTACGCTATTGATGACGTCGGTCATGTCGAATGACGTGGACAGCTGGAACTTGGGAAAGTGGAGGGTGACCAGCGTTTCGACGGCGCCATGAACGAAGCCTCTCACGGCGTCCGGAGTGAGCTTGAGGGAACCGGAGCACGACGACCGCTGCGCGATTAGCGCCATGGACAGAGCGCCGTCGGCGTAAGGCAAACAAACGACGTCGGCGTCGAGGTCGTGGTAGTAAGAGTACGGCAGTACGCCGGTCCTACGCATCACTTGCACCGTGACCTGAAATTATAGAAATGACGGCAACGTTTTATTAGTATATCACCTTATTATCGCCCTACGTGTCGAACTAGATTAGAGATTTCTAGTTCACGCTTTCGTCACTTCGAGCTACGGAGCTGAAGTTCTGTTCCAAATATGAACACATCGAGCGCGTTGCGTACGGAGAGAAGAAGCCCTTGAACATCACGTGATTATGGCGCACCGGGGCATTTCTAGGCGAAGTAGTTTTCGTAATATTGCTTCGAGGCGGCGGACTCGAAGGCGTATTACGAACCTGTAGTACATGTTCTGCATATATCGTACACTGCTGCACACGGTGGTGAAGGGCGTCCTCACGTCCCCTGTCGACTTCTGTAAGTGTACTTTGAGAATGTTAAGCATACCCGCTACGGTGGTCCTTGTGGAACTCGACTGCTCACCCGAACGTCGCGGGATCGAATCCCAGCCGCAATGGCCGCATTCTCGATTTAGGTGAAAATGTTTAAGTCCCGTGTGCTTAGATTTAGGTGCACGTTAAACAACCCCAGGTGGTCAAAACTGCCGCAGCCATCCACTACAGTGTCTCTTATATTCATATGGTGGTTTTAGTATGTTAAACCATCCAACTGTTAGTATTAAGTTATAACCATAAGGTGGATTTGAAACGTTAAACACCGCCCCGCCGCGGTGTTCTAGTGGCTAAGGCACTCGACTGCTGACCCGCAGGTGGCGGGACTGAATCCCAGCTGCGGCGGCTGCATTTTTGTTGGAGGCGGAAATCTTGTAAGGCCCGTGTGCTCAGATTTGGGTGCACGTTAAAGAACCCCAGGTGGTCGAAATTTCCGGAGCCCTCCACTACGGCGTCTCTCATAATCATATGGCGGTTTTGGGACGTCAAACCCCACCTATTAATCAAAACGCCAAACACCAACAATTATTATATTGTAACGGGGTCGTGACAACGGCTAAGGGAGCAGACAGTAAGTTGAAAATCAAACTGCTTATTCAGGCCAAACTTGTGGCCAACAAATGAAAAGTAAGCTTACAGCAAGGCAATGGCACCGATAGCGGCGGGCAGAGTGTCGGCCGTCGATCGACTGACAAGCGGCGAAGCGCGTCGGCATTTATACACTTGCCATCGAATGTTCTAGCATTATCGCAAGCGGTGACGTAGGTTCCAGAATAATCTGTACTGTTCACGATGTGGGTGTAATCTTAACACAACAATCTACTACAGTCTCGAAGCTTTTCGAACATCGTAGTGTAACGGGGTGATAACAAAACTTGAGGAAATGAACGTGGCAATACAGATAATGTAACCCCCCTATTCACAAACGCTCCTCGACTCGACCTCTACCCTTCACTTGACAGAGTTGAGCATTGCGCCACCGCTCGGCTGAAAATGACGCTGCGCTACTCAAGAATCGCAGCAGATTATTGCTGATATGCAGTGACTTGCCGGCGGCCGCTTGGCCTGCAGGAGCAGGCCAAGCGGCCGCCGTCCTTGGCCACTAGAGCGCCGAGCTTCAACGTTTCTCTGAAGCTCGCCTTCGAGTCCGTCTAATGGGCGTCGATGAGAGGAACGAGAAAGAAAAATGCGTAGATGGAGACGGCGCTCCCATCGGCTTTCTCAAGTGAAGGTGAATCGTTGAGTGAAGGGACGTTCTAGAATACGGGGGTTAGACACCGAACTGCAGTGCCATATCCGATTCGCACTGGCTGTAAGTTCTGTACTATTTAAGTATTCGGTAATCGTTGTCCGTCAACCTCATATATCTCTTACTAGCAAATATTAGAGCACCTCGATACGCCTCCTCCTTGTTACCCGAATCTTTAATTAACAGAAACATTTAATTAAGAGAAGCATTACTGTACTACTAGTTCCTTCTTTGCTGGCTTAAGCGGCACTTACCTGGTCCGACCCCTTATTGAAAAAACTGCCGGTGTAAGTGGAACTCCTGCTGAAGGGGCACTTCCACAGGTTCTCAAAGGAGGCTGTGTTGAAGAGTATGTCATTCCAGGCCTGTTTCGCTGACCGGATCATCGGCAACCAACTCTGCAGTCATGATGTGGCTCATGCCGTTGCGCGTTGAATCTGTCCCACATCCGTGATAGTAAGGGTGGAGGTAGGTTTCGGTGTTCACTCTAACTTCCCCACTGGCTGCCTCCCTTCGCCTGAGTGTCGTGAGCACCTCCTTGCAGGAGCAGGCCAAGCGGCCGCCGTCCTTGGCCACTAGAGCTCCGAACTTCAACGTTTCTCTGAAGCTCGCCTTCGAGTCCGTCACATGGGCGTCGATGAGAGGAACGAAGAAAGGAAAATGCGTAGATGGAGAGGCACACGTTGCGGTCTTCGGGCAGAGCGTTGAAGACGCTTAAGCCGAGGTAGTTGCTCTCGTCCTGTGAGTCTCCTGCACAGGCC